GACCCACAGCACCCCTAGAGGACAGAGTGGAACTGCACCACAGGGTCTCCAAGGCTGTCAGTCTTCACAGAAGCAAAGCCCAAACCACACCCACTGCATGGAGTCCATTCTGACCCACAGCGCCCCTAGAGGACAGAGTGGAACTGCCCCAGAGGGTTTCCATGGCTGCAGTCTTCATGGAAGCAGACTGCCTCATCTTTCTCCCTTGGAATGCCTGGTGAGTTTGAGCCGCCAACCTTTTGGTTAGAAGCTGAATGCTTTAATCACTGTGTCACTAGAGCTTCTTGTTCAAATGTTTTTGTTTTTTTTTTATTGTGATTTGGGTGAGTTTACAGAGCAAATTCACTTTCCATACAGCAGCCTACATACACATTGTCTCATGACATTGACTGCAGTTTCCCATTATGCAACAGCTCCCCTCCCACTTCCTCTCCATAGTTACCTCTTCCCTGTGTCCTTCCCTCCATGTACTCCTACCTCCCAAGCTGTCTCCCTGTGCATACCCAGCCCTTCTTTCTCCCATGATTGTTCTCTCCAAGGAGTGTATCTACCTAATGTCAATGTTCCGCTCATATGCCTCTTTTGTTTGGCTGGAAGCCACAGGAGTGGGTTCAATTCCAGTCCCGAAGGGCAGCTAGGGGCCATAGTCTCCATGGTTCCATCAGGCTCTATGAGACCAGCAAACCTGGTCCTTTTTTTCCAATAACGATTTTGAGTTTTGTTCCACATTGTTCTCCTTCTCTATCCAGGATCTCCTACATAGATCCCCCTCCGAGTGGTTGACAGGGGTAGCCGGGCACCATCTAGTTCTTCTGGTCTCATAGTCACATAGGCTGAGGATTGCATCAAATGGTGGTTTTAAAATGGATGGGACCCAGCCCCAAGTCACTGGGCAGGACCCGGGTAACTGAGAAAGATCGGGACAGGCTAACATTGACCCCCCCCAAACCGGTCCTTCTGACAGAGAACTGGGATTGTCTGTACCTGCACTCCACTTGGGACATGTCCCCCTGAAAGCCACCGAGCATGGGGAAGGCAGCGGGTGTCTGTGACCCACTGAGGTCAGTGGCTACAGCTCACCCCCCACCAGCTGTGAGATCACCCCTCTTCCCAGGGAGCCAAGTGCCTGAAGGAAAGCTTAGTAGTCTTTCCTGCTGTTACCTTCAAATTGGAATTCGAGCCATGGACCGGGCAGATGGAGCATGACTTTACCGCCATGGGGTGAGTCTGAGAACCACAGTAAGGAGCCGGTCCAGGGCTGAGGCACCACGACTCCTGTCCTCCGGGCCACCCTGCACTGACACGCAGACACTCCCTGCTCCTCGAAGGGTGAAAGCACATGGCCTTGGGAGGTCCCAGGGGCTGACCGTTCTTCAGGGCCCTCACCCGGCGGGCCCCTACAGCTGGCGTTTCTCCTGGGAGCAGGGTGCTGGGGGGCCGGGGTGGCTCCTAAGCACGGGTGATGTCCTGCTTCCGTCGAAGCCTCCTCCACATCCTTTCCAGGGCCACTTTTCCCATGAAGAAGGTGATGGCAAAGTTACGTCTGTACCAGTCTCTGTTCCATTCCAGGAAGAGAAAGGAAAGCCCGGGTCAGACGTGCCAGCACCGAGGACTGACACCCAGCCACGTCCTCCTCTTGCTGTGGGCCTCAGCAGGCCTGGCCCCAAGCAACCCCCACCCCAGGCTCTCGGGAAGACACTGCAGGACCCCAGGAAGCCTTGGGGTCCCTGAACCTAGAGGTGCCCTCTCTTGGGCACACAATGGCTGAGTGATGGGGGCATGACCAGCTAGAGTACCAGGCCTCTCAGGGCACCAGATCCACTTAAGAAGCGAAGTCTTCTGGAGTGGGAAGCTGATGCACACCAACACCAACATGAGAAAGCCCCAGGCCTCTTCCCCGGTCGCCTGGGCTTCAGTTCCCTCCGTCTCTAGAGAGGTCACTCCCAAGCTGCTGACACAGTGCCACGGAGCCCCGCACGCTGTAAGCGGCACTGTCAGCAGTTTCTGCTAGGCGGGCACAGCCGGGAAATGCCAACATGCCAGACCCCTGGGGCTGAGCCTCAGAAGCCGGACGGCGAGTGCCCTGCATCTCAGCCCAGTGAGCCACAGCCCCACGTGGCACTTCCACTCCACCTGACTCGGTGCAGACGGAGAGCACAAACAAGGATTCAGAGGGGATGGCGGCAAGACACACGAGTGCATGAAGCCGTGGTGTGCTGGCGGGAAGACCTGTGCACAGGGTACGTTTTACCCTCTGTCCACCCACGTGACGCCATGAATGAGAAGCAGCGCCATTGATAAGGAAGGCTTCTGGGACCAGAAACTGGCCTCCTGTCAGGAGGAAAGCTCTGAGGTTACGACGGAAAAGCCAGAATCCCCTTCACCAGGATGGACAGCCAGACTCATGATACCGTGTGTGTGTGGAGGCGCAGCTCTTTCCATTTGACAGGGAACACAGAGCAGGAGGAGGGCACAGGAGGGGTGCTCCAGACCCCACCGTCTCCTGGTCCCGGGGAGCTGGCTCCCCTCTCCCCGACTGCAGCTTGGAGATCACCAGGCTCATCAGACAGCGCACTGGTGCACACGTGCTACGTGTCCACCTCAGAAACCAAAGGCCCAGAGACATGGAGCCAACGTCTGCTGGGCTGAACATGGTAACAGACGGACGCAAGTGCTTCAGGATGAATCATTACACCAGACAACTAAGAAATGCCAAAAGCAAAGAGCTTTAGTTTTTCAAGCTTTTTTTTTCTGGGAATTTCTGATGTACGTAAAGACAGAGTCGTAATGAAGCCTCAGACATTCCCCTGCTCCAACACTGCCATCACGCTCTCTAGCTGGCATCGTGCCCCTCATCCAACCTGGTGGGTGGTATATTGGTGTAAAAATACATAACATAACTTTGCTAATTCAGCGTTTTTCAGTTGACACCAACGACATCATGTTGTGCAGCCGTCACCTGTAACTGTGTTAGGCAGGTTCTCTAGAGAAGTAAACCAAGAAAGCTCATGTGTACAAATAGAGAAAGAGAAACTTCTCTTAGGAAAATGGCCCACACACTTCTAGAAGCTGGCAGGTCCCAAGTGCTTGGAACAAACAAGTGACGAATCAAGATCACCAGGCCAATGGTGGATTGTTCACTCGTGGACAGTTGTAGGCAGCACAACTGGATCCTGGTCCACAGAGGAGTCTCTCTTCCCAGGATGTCCATAAATATATTGGAAGCAGCCACACCCCCAGGGAAACTTCCTTTCAAAAGATTGGCTGCTCAAAACATATACATCTGATCCCATCATGGGAATAACCCACATCACAATTGCTTAAACCACACAGAATTGTGGTCCAGCCGAGTTGACACACAGCTCCAACCATCACAGTAACCATTGCCAAATGCCTGTTTTGTTTTAAAGTACGTCTCTGACATCACATTATGTTATTTCACCAGTAGAGACACGAGCAGCTCTGGTGGCACAGTGGTTAAAGCATCCACTATTAACCAAAAAGATGATGGTTCTAACCCTCCAGCCATTCCAAGGGAGAAAGATGAGGCAGTCGGCTTCCATGAAGATGACAGCCTTGGAGACCCTGTAGGCAGTTCCAGTCTGTCCTCTAGGGGCCCTGTGGGTCAGAATAGACCCCACAGCAGTGGGTGTGGCTTTTGTTTTGTAGTACATACACACCAATATGTATTTGTAATCATTTAAAATCTTTTAAGAAATAACCATAATATCATTAGTGTGTCAAATAAGAAATAATTTATTAATACAACCTAATATGAGTCTCCTCCATCTAAAAAATCTTTCTTTAAAATCATTTTTAACAGTCCTCTATGAACACCTAACCCCCGCCCTCCTACCCCACAGCCTTGGCCTATTAACTGGTACTTAGATGGGAGGCCTGACTAGATTCAAAGTCAATGAGTTCTTTCTTCAAGACCCCCTGCCAGGTGGCACCTTGCACTCCTCATCACACCGAGAGCCACCGTGACACAGGGTGTCACATGATAGTGACACACTGTGACAGTGGCCCTGTGTTAGGATGGGGGCACTGATGGGGGCTTAGGTGTGATGAGCCGGCCCATCCGCCACAATAGGCCCCCATTTTCTGCTTGATGGCTTGAGCAGCCATGGATGGCTGCCGCCTAGATCCGTGACGGCATTTCCTTAGAAACATGGTGACTTCTAACCGTATCAGTGCCATTCTTCTAGGGAGAAATGCACTCCCTCGTCTGGTCACCTTGAAAGCTGCTCAAAAGGCAGGACAGGGGTAGGTTCTTTTGCTCCTCTCTTTGGTTTATCAACTCTCAGAATAAAGGAACAATAGCCTAGCCCCAGAGCCTCTGAGTGCTGCAAACAGTTAGCACAGTCAGCTGCTACCAAAGGCTGCAGGCGCCTTGCAAGAAAGCCTGGTGATCCTCTTCTGAAAGAGGGGCCGCTGGGAGCCCGGTGGGGCCACCAGGAGGTGGCACTGCCTTCACGTAACTGGCTTCCCCGGCAATGCCCAGAGGGCCTGAGCTTGTCAGCATCGTGAGGCTCATGGGGATGTTTGTGTCCTTGACACTGTCAAGCCCACAGCAGCCAGTCTTCTCTCTGAGGCTCCAGTTATCCGGTCACTGGCCCGTGTGAGCCTCTCTGAGCTGCTCCTACGTGGTTTTCAGACAACCCCAGGGAACTGCATTCACCTCCTCGCTTTCAGGCCTAAGATACCAGAGACTGGGACCTGGAATCTGCTGCTTCTCCAAGGAAGCCTGGGTTTCTTTTAGTGGGAGGGTGGCTCAGAGACCCCAGTCCAGGAGCTGGGGGTGCTAAGTGCCAATGGGTTACCATGCAGGTAAAATGAAACCAGCAGCCTTATCGAGAAGGGCAAAGAGCTAAGCCAGGAAAGTCAGATGACGTCTGCTCTGTCAGAAACATGTGCCATCAGACTCTGCTAAGGAAAGAACCCTACCCACCTGGCTGGGGGGTCTACTGTGCAGGAAGCAGGCGGACACCTACCTGTTGTAACGCATGTGCTTCTTGAAGTTCTTACTTAAAAATTCCTTGTAGAAGTCGGCCATCTCCTCCGCGTTCAGTGTCGCCTTCCGACCTGAAAGTTAATTTCCACGTGAGCGTTAAGACGTAAGGGAAAGGAAGATACAGAAAACTACTGCAGCTGATGAGTGAGCTCAATAGATCACAGGACAAGAGAACAACAAAGATCAACTGTATGTGTGTACAGTAATGACAGACAATCCAAAAGGAGACTAAGAAAGCAATTCCATTTATAACAGCATCAAAAAGAATAGGGTCCTTAGGAGTAAATTTAGTATCAGAAGTGTTAAGACTTACATGCTGAAAAGTACAAAATAGCATTGAAAGAAAAAAAAAAAAAAGACCTCAATAAATAGACAGCCCTCTGAGCTTACAGCCGGAAAACATACTATTGTTTAGACAGAAACCCTGCCAATTTAGCCTTCAGATTCAGCACAGTCCACAAAAGAGCCCAGCCAGATTTCTCTGCAGAAACTGACAGGCTTACCCTAAAATTCACAGGGACTTCCAACAGCCACAGCAATCCTGAAAAAGCAGAACACAGTCGGAGGACTCACACCTCCCAATTTTAAAACTTACTGCACAGCAACAGTGACCAAGGCTGTGCGGTATTGGTACAGGGATGATAAAGATCAATGGACTGGAACAAGGTTCCGGAAAGAAACTCACACGTGCACGGGCAATTGAGTTTTGACAAGGGGGCCAAGACAATTCAACGAGGAAACAGTCTTATCAACAAGTGGGGCTTAGAGACTGGACCTCCATCTGTCAAAGAATGAGTGAGACACTGACCTCACCTCAGACCACGAACAAAAGCCAACTCAGAACTGACCGTGACCTAAGTGTCCCAGCTACCATGCCAAAACCCTTAAGCAAAGCTTCAGTGCAAACCTTCATGGCCTTCCTTTAGACAGTAACCTAAAACAGAAGCAAACAAAGGAAAAAGAGCTAAATTAGATCTCATTACAACGGAAAGCTCTGGTGCCCCATTAAGCAAGGGAAAAGACAAACCACAATGCAGGAGGCAGGGCTGCCAGTCACCTTTCAGATAAGGGACTCACGGTTGGAACATACACAGAGCTCTTATAGCTCCATGGTAAAAAGACAAAAACACAATGTGGAAATCACCAGAGGATTCAAATGCGTTTTCCCAAAGAAGGTCGACAGACTGCCAACATGCTCTCGAAATGGTACCCAATACCATGGTCATCAGAGAAACGCAAAGCCAAGCCACACGGAGATGCCGTGTCACACCCATGAGGATGGCTCAACTCCCAGAGAGACAATAACTTGTGCGCAGAGGGTGTGCAGAAGGTGAACTCACACACTACAGCTGGTGAGAAGGTAAAATGGAGCAGCCGCTTGGCCACAACCCACTGCCACTGTGTGGATTCCACTGTGCAGCACCTCGAGGGCAGAGAACTACCCCAGAGGGTTTCCAAGGCTGTACATCTTTACGGAAGCCAACTGCCTCACCTTTCTCCCTCAGAGCAGCTGGTGGGTTCAAACTGCTGACCTTTTGGTTGGCAGTCAAATGTTTTAACCACTATGCCACCAGAACTCCAAGCCACTTGGCTGCCACATGGCAAACAGCTTGGCAGTACCTGAGAAAGTTAAACATAAAATTACAGTGTGATGTGGCGATTCTGCTGCTAGGTCCCAAGAGGACTGAACACACACGGCCCCATGAAACTCTGCACACAGTTGTCCACCGGCATCATCCACACGGATCACAAAGCAGAACCCACTGCACGGCCACCAGCTGAGGCACGGACAGACAGAAGTGCGCAGCCTCACAGTGGGCGACACGCCAGCCAGTGTAGCTGTGATCCATGCCACGAGGTGGAGCCCTGACAGACGCTTAGTGAGCAGCTGGTCACAGCAACCACACGGTATGGCCGTTCCCAGGGAGCCCCAACAGCAGCAAAGCCACAGACACACAGCAGCCTAGTGGCTTCACAGGGCTGGGGGAGGAGGAAAGGGAGAAGGGCTGCCGACGGGGCCACGGTTTCTTCCACGGCCGGACAGTGGAATTAGACAGTGGGGATGACGGCACGACTTCGTGGACGCACTGGAACCCGCAGCCTACCCGCCCTGCAGGGCTGTGTTTTATGGTATGTGGATTATAGCTCGATTCAAAAGAAGTCTTGGGGGCCAGACCCTGCTGATCCCAGCAAGACCCATCTCCCTCACAGCTGGCACACACGCACATGCAGGTAAACATGTGTGATGCTGTGTGCTTCACCGCAGGGTCTAGGAAGGGACTGTGGGGCCTAGTGTGCAGGAAGGGAAACAGCGTGGTTCCCAGAGTGAACACGTCCCACCCAGAAGCCCACCCCTCCCCGGGCAGAGCTGGCCTGTGTCCATGGATGGGTTCTCGAGCACACAGTGACCCAGGTGAGCCCACCGAGTAGGTGCAGGTGGGGACCAATGGCCCACAAGGACTGACAGGCCAGCCTGCACAGAGCTCACGTCTGCTGAGGGGCAGTGACTGTGCTACCTACTCAAGTCACCCCCACTCACAAGCCTGAAAGGCCACACCTGAGACCAGTTCACCCGCCGTGAGGACATGGGAAAAGCACAGCCGGCTACAGACAGGTGGCACGGTGCCTGGCAAACGGACAAACGGGGAGTGGATGGTGGTGGTGAAGGACAGTGACACGAGACGCTCCACAGGGAGCCTGGCGGCCAGGACGGGCCTCTCCAGCTGGGGGTGCATTTCCTGTCCCACCCCCTCAAGGCCGTGCTCCGTGTGGCAGAAACACCACGTGTTTCCTGCGTGGTCGGTGCTCCTTCCCACCTGACATAAAGGAAACCAGGCAGGACCGCCCAGTCCCGCCCCCTCCCCAGGGAGGCTGGACAGGGACAGCCGAGAGGCCCTGCAGGAGGGGGCCACGGCATCCGCTCCGTGCCCCTGAACGCGCCTGCGCTGGAGGAGGCCGGCCGCCCCTCCAAGCACCTCGTTTACCTCGCGCTGTGGCTCGGACAGAAACCTCATCGGCAGACCGCACTGACCTGATTCCGCGCTCAGCCCCAGGCCTTTAGCCGTCAGTCTCGTGTGAATAAACGCTTCTTTTTCCTGAAACGAGAGGAGAGTCAGGGGTCCCTGCCGCTTCCCCTGCAGATGCCCGTAGCCAGCACGCAGCGCGCCCCCCGCGCTCTGGAGAAGGCTCATGCGGACTTAAAGCCCGCGTGAAATCATCTGAACGTCTAAGAGTCTCATCTTAAAACAGGACGGAAATCCAGACGCACAGGCACAGAGGCGAAGCCAAGACTAAGGATTCAGCGCCGCCCAGTGGCCAACTGGGTTATTCACGGTAAGCTGGCCCGGCTGCTGTGCAGTCAGTTCCCACCCGGGATCCAGTGGGACTGAGTACACTGCCCCAGGGTTTCCAAGGCTGTGAGTCTTTATGGAAGCGGACCGCCACCTCTGTCCCCCCTGGAGTGGCTGAGGGGTTCACACTGCTGACCTTACGGGGCCGCGGCCGAGCGCTGAGCCACCGCACCACCAGCACTTGGACTTGCCTGATGGAAAGTCCGATTCTGCTTTGCCCAGAATCGCTGGTTCCATTCTTGGGTTTCTTGTCTTAGTTCTCGAAGCTTCCGTTCCGACGGCGACTCGTCCTCTGGGATGTAAAAGTGAACAGGTCGGAGGTTGGAGTATTTATCCGGGGGTCCAATCCAGTCGTGACAAGACGTCCCTGGAGGGCCGAACCTGGAGACCTTCAACAAAGTGCACGGGATTAACATGCACAATGAAGAGAACCACTGGTGTCATAAAGTCAATGGCGGGTGTCAGTCAAGTCCCTGGTCACTTCCTCTTTCTAAGACTGTGCCCAGGGGACTCACTGCGGTGAGTACGTTGTTGGGTGTCGAGTCAGCTCTGGCCCACGGCGACCAAACCCTTCCTGGCCCTGCACCAGCCCCAATCTGGGCTGGGCTGGAGCCCACTGCTGCGGCCGCTGTGTCAGTCCCCTCACTGAGGGCTCCTCTTTCTCACTGACCCCCTTCTGTACCGACACAATGTCCTCCTCCAGGGACCGGTCCCTCCTGACAACCTGCCCGAAGCAAGACAGGTGACGCCCTGCCATCCCCGCCTCTGAGGAGCCTTGTGGGTGTTTCATCCGAGACGCACCTGCCTGCAGTAAGCTTTCCTACTGGCACTGTGCCACACACTTTCAACAAATGACGCTGGAACAATTGGCCATTTTAACAGCTGGGGGGGGAGCAAACTTAACCCACACCTCACAATGTGTATAAAAATGAACTCAAAATGGGTCATAAACCTAAATAAAATGTTAAACCTAAAACTGGAAATTTTCTAGCAGAAAATCTTTGCAACATAGATCAGGCAGATTCCTTAGATACAACGCCAAAAGCAAGATTGATAAAATAAAAAATAAATAAGTAGGACATCACTAATGTTAAAAACCTCTGCTCTTTGAAACACATGGTTAAGAAAATGAAAACAGGGCCACACACTGGGAGAGGTTTTGGCAACTCCAATCAAAGACTAGTTCCCAGAATATGTAAAGAGTACTTGAAACTCAATAATGAGAAAACAGACCGTCCAACTGAAACAGGCAAAATATCTGAATGAAAATTATACCAAAAAAGATGTACAGACGCAAATACACACACACAGCCATGCTCAGCATCACTAGGGAAACGCAGATGAAACCACAAGGAGACGCTATTTCCTGTCGATCAAACAGTCTTAAAAACTGACACCACCAAGCGCTGCCAAGGACGTGTAACAACTGAACTCTGTACTCTGCTGGTGGGGATGCAAAATGGTGCAGACGCTCTGGAAGGAGAGGTCGGGAGTCTGTCGAAGTTGACATGCACTTCACACAGCACGTCATCGTCTCGCTCCTAGGCATTACCCAGGACACATGAACACATGCATCCACTCAAAAGCCTGGATATTCATAACGCTGATATCTGGACAACCCACGTGTCCTTCAACTGATGAACAGACAAACAAAGGATGGGACACCCAGATGACAGGCTGGTGCCCAGGGGACGGCAACTAGCAGGTGTGGTGTGCTGACCACAGGGGCCAGGCCCAGAGGGTCGGTGCTGTGTTTGTACTTATGACATCTGGACAAGACAAAACACAATCCAAAAAGAAACAAAACCAGAAGGCTCCTTCGAAGCAAGGATGGCAAGGCTCGCTCACTATGGACACATCATCAGGAAAGACGTCCTGTCTGACATAGTAGAAGGTCAGCGAAACCAAGGGAAGCCCTCACGGGAGCATGGGAGAGACGGCTCAGGCATTCAGCTGCAGTCTGCACTCAGCTCTGTGCTGGGTCCCCAGTGCTGCTCTAACACAAACACCACAGATGGGTCGGCTTGAACAAACAGCAGTGTATTCTCTTACAGTTCGGGAGGCTGGAAGTTCGACTGCAAAGTCCCAGGCTCCAGGGGCTCGGAGAAAGCCCTCGACCTTGGGCTTCAGCTCTGCCTCCTGCTCCCGGGCCACTGCAGCTGGAGGCTTTCTTCACTCAGGCAGCTGCTGGCTGCTGAGGCTGACAAGCCCAAGGTGACAAATTAAAAAGGCACTGCCCTGATGTTACCAAACCACACAGCAGGCTGTTGATTCAAGTCCACTGCAAGTCCCAAGATCGGCAGAGCACGGCAGGCTGCTGAACAACGACTCAGCTGCATGCAGGGCTCAAGCGTGCCAAAAAGCTGAAGAACCATTCCCCAAGCTGCTACTTACATATGGGAAGCAGGCCACATCCCTAACCAGCTTCTCAGCTGCCTGTGGTAGATGCCACCGTGGAGATGATTGCCAGTCTCATCGTGGGAAATGACTACCACCAGCTGCCCAGCCACTCAACCAGGCCCAGCCTTAACTACAAGCTCCAACACACCCCATGCCTCCCCATCCCCAATGGGTCTGCCATGTAAGTCCCTGGACTCAACGCTCGACGATAAGGCTAAAGAGCCCAGGGCAGACTGGGAAAGGACACCCAGTCGCCGCAGAGGTTGGGAGACATAGCCTCTTCGTGCTCAGCCCCAAGGGCTGCCGTCATCTCCGCCAACATGCACAAGGCATCCTGAGAACTTGTCACAGGAGACGGCCAAGCGCAGTGCTGTCCTTGGCCGGCACGCCATGCCTTCTCCTTTTTCAAACACTCCAGGGGATTCTGAGCGCTGCAGCCTCCCTAAATCTTCCCACATTGCCACGCATTCTAAACACAGGCAGGCACTAAAGCAGAGGACTGCGGCAGGCTGGGTGGCAAGGCCTGTGACACGCTGGGTGCAGGCCCTGGCAGGAGGGTTTCAGGCACCATCCAGGACAGTCCCAGCATGCCAGGCTCTGCAGGCTCTGCTTCGGGACCAGAGGTCAGGTGACCTCACAAAGCTCTCCCTGCACCTGAACACACAGGCTTCTGGAGTGCAACACCATAGCTATTCCTCCAGGACAACGCCCGTGGTTGTGTGCTGTCAAGTCAGTTCCTACTCCTAGTAACCCCGGGTGAAGAGCAGGACTGTCCCACAAGGTGTCCAAGGCCGTGATCTCTACAGAAGCTGACTGCCTCGCCTTCTCCCAAGGAGCAGCTGCTGGGTTCAAAGCGAGGACCTTTGGTTGGCAGCCAAGCACTGAGCCAGCGTGCCACCAGGGCTCCTCAGGACGAGCACTCGGATGTTTTACTGACAATCCGTCCGGCTCGTCAGCACTACAAGACTCACCGTTCAGAAACTTAGATCTGAGTCTAGGAAAGTAAGTCAATCAGCAGGAAATGCTGAAAAACTGTATTTTAAATATAGTTATTCCTCAGAATTTTAAAATGTTTCTATGAAGTGTCTTAAGAAGTGAAAAATTCTATTTTAAAATGATCAAAGAATTTTGACAAATTAGGTAAAAGAAAAGGCCACATTTAGGGGAAAAAACTGCCTGCTGGAAAATGCTTTATCTCTGCAGAGGATCAAGTGATTAGAAATGAACTGAAGATTTGGTGATAAATTATTGTCTTCACAGAGTGCAATGTCCCACAAAATGCCTAAGACCCCACAGCAGGCCTTATGAGTGTGCGGAGTCACCGGGCGGTTCGCCAGCACTGTGTGAAGGACCGGATGGAGGGTCCACCCGGAGATGGAAGAAGGGAAGAAACAGTCCAGGTATCCTGTGCAGTGTGTGCCAGTAAACTTTAACAATGGCTGCGGGAGTAGGGCATCTTTGTGGACGTAGTTTATCACCAGTATCACTGATGTACAGACACGCAGCACATACTTCCCACCACCCGTCCGTCCGTTTACCGTGCTGTGTGTGGCTGCGAGGCTGGAAGCTATGGCAGCAGAATTTCAATACCAGGTGGTCACCCACAGGGGTCAGCAGTCAGTGGAGCGTCCAGACGAAAAGAGCTGAGGAGGAAAGGCCTGGCAATCTCCTTCTGAAAACCAGCCGGTGGGAAGCCATGCAGTACGTTCTGGGAGTGCAGCCCAGGGGGCGTCACTTAAGATACAGTGGGCCCACCCAGGGGCTCTCGCACACCAAGATCGTGGCGATGGCACACAAGCCAGCTGCACTGTTGTGTTGCACAAGGGATCGCATGAATTAGGCTTGACTTGACGGCATGCAACAACAAGCACACAACTTACAGGTAATAAAGTAATAACACCCTCTTCGTAAATCCCACCTCACCAATTCACTCTCACAGAACGCTTTCACTAGTTTTTAAATAACAGGTTTATAGAGACAGACTTCACATACCGTAAAATCCATCCTGCTAAAGGAAGCATAAATCTCCCCGGGTTTTAGCCGATTAACCACCATTGCTATGCATATGTATTTTCCCAGGACATTTTCATCACCCCAAAGAGACCTCTAGTCTACTTTCTGTCTATCCAGTTCTGCCTGTCTGAAGACTTCACATGAACGGAATTAGGACACGTGTGGTGCTATGGGATTGGCTGGCTTTCACTCCATGTGCTTCTGAGTATCATCCATGTCTTAGCATGTGTTGGCACTTCATGCCCATGTATTGCCAAACACTCCCCTGTATGAATACCCATTCCTCAGTGAATGAACACTGGGCCGGTTCCACGTTCTGACAGCCACGGCTAGTGCTGCTATGAGTGTCCACATACGGGTGTTTCTGTGGACATACGCTTTACTTCTCTTGGGCACGTGAGGAGCGGAATGGCTGGGTCATTCAGTAACTCAGCACTCAACCCTCCAAGGAACTGCCAGCCTGTTTTCCGCAGCAGCTGCACCATTTCACATTCCCACCATGGTGTGTGACGCTTTGGGTTTCTCCACCTCCTTGTCAACACTTGTTATTGTCTGTCTTTTGTTATCGCAGCCACCCTGGTGGTGTGAACTGGTACCTCAGTGGGGGTTTTCACTGATTTGCTGATTCCTGTGCCCCATGTAACCTGTGGCTGCAGCTGACTAACATTCCTTGACATTAAGGAGCAAGACCAAAGTGAACCCAGAAGTCCTCTGTTGGAGGCGGATTTGTCAGTCACAGAGCAGCTTGCTGGCTGCCTTGGATAACAGCTTTTGAATACTGCAGGAACAGCTCCTCACCTTGCTATTCACAATGTAACGGCCACATGCAACACAGTAACGTTCAATCTGCAAACTAGCATTTTCTCCTTCACTGAAGTGGACACAGAAAGAATCAAGTACCTCACTTGGATTGGAGCCTTTGCCAGTTTCCAGGTGGACACACTCCCACCACCGGGGATTTCAAGCAGCAAGATGG